AGGGTGGGAGGGGGCAGGGTGGGGTGGTGGCTTGGGGGAAGGGTGGAGTGGGGATGGGGCAGGAAGAGGCAGGGCAGAAGTGAAGGTGTCACGGAGTGTGGGGGGGACACAAGGCCCTGCACCCCCGGCTTCCTGCGATTGACCGTGACTCTCAGCCAGTCAGTAAAGCAGAAGGTTTATTTAGACGACAGGAATACAGTCCTAGACAGGTCTTGCAGGCACAGACAACAGGATCCCCCCCAAGTAGGTGCATCTTGGGGTCCCAGGGCACCACAGCCCCTTGGGGGGTCAGAGCCCCGTCTGCCTCCCAGCCATATCACCAGCCAGCTCTGAAACTCTCCCCAGCGACCCCTCCCACAGCCTTTGTTCAGTTCCCCGGGCCAAGGTGTCACCTGGCCTCCAACCCCTTCCTGGGGTCTCATGTTACATGCTCAGGTATTCTCCATCGGTCAGTCTCCCATCCCCCAATGCAGACCATCCCAGCCACACTCCCCTGTCAGCATTCCCAGACCACATTAAGAACAGACCCAGTTCGTCACATCTCTCCCTCCTTAGAGACCGAACTGAGCGGGGTCACTTCAGCCAGTGACCCGAGGAAGTTCGAACCTACCCCCGTTCCCGTGGACAGGGCCGGCTTTAGGCCAATTCAACCAATTCCCCTGAATCGGGCCCCACGCCTAAGAGGGCCCCGCGCCCTAAAGAGGAGAATCGGTTGAATCAGCCTAAAGCCGACCCTGCCTGGGCCCTTTAAATAGCCCCCAGAGCCCTGGGGTAGTGGGGGCTCCGGGGGCTATTTAAAGGGCCAGGGCTCCAGCTGCCTCTGCCGCCCCGTCCTTCAAATAGCCGCGGGAGCCCCACCGCTTCCCCAGGGCTCCCGCGGCTATTTAAAGGGCCAGGGCGGTAGAAGCAGGGGAGCCCCGGGCCCTTTAAATAGCCCCCGAGCCCCAGGTTGCTGCTGCTACCCCCTGTCCTGCCTGCACCAGCCCCGCTCCCCCTGCCCTGCCCGCAGCCAGCCCCTGTCTCCAGCCAGCCCCGCACCCCCTGCCCGCAGCCAG